CTCCTCCTCCTCCTCCTCCTCTTCCTTCTCCTCCTCCTCCTCCTTAGCAGATAGGAATGCAAAGCCAGCGGGGCCTGGCCCGAGCTCGAGCTGCCCCTGGAAGGTTTGAGGCCCTGGGCCCTGCAACCCCTAACCTGGAGCCGGGGTCGGAGACGAGCGGCGGCCTCGGGGCTGGCATCTGTACCTGTCGTTCGGACAGTCTGCCTCCGTCCGCATGGTGCCCCCCTTCAAGCAACAAGCGCCGGTTACGCACAGCACGCTCTCTCATGCGGTCGCGGTCTGGTTCCCGCAACGCTTGCGGAGTCAACAGCCGCAGCGAACGCACTGACACGACCCAGCCCGAGGGCACCCAGCACCCGTGCCCGCGAGCCGCCTCGGGCCCGATGGCCCCAGCCCGAGGAGGCACCCGAGCCGGGACGGTGGGCCTGAGAGAGCGAGGGGCGCCCATGCCCCTCCTCCTCCTCCTCCTCCTCCTCCTCCTCCTCCTCCTCCTCCTCCTCCTCCCCCTCCTCCTCCTGCTCCTCCTCCTCCTCCTCGACGGTGCCAAGGCGCCTCCTCTTGCTGCCGGAAGGAGAGCCAGTTCAGGGGCAGAGGCAAGGCACTCCTCCTGGCCGAGTACGAATCTGCATGCTGTAGCATCTCCGCGTCATGGGTACGCTTAAGTCGGGCGTGTCCCCCTACAGGAGGAATATTCAAAAATAGTCAAAAATAGTCAGGGACCGATGGTTCTAATAAGGTTTGGCTCTTTGGGGGTATTTTAAAACTATTTTGAACTTTTCGCCCCAAATCCGCCTGTAGGGGGACATGCCCGACCTAAGCGTACGCGAACCACTGACAGGGGCAAACTCGGCTCGAGGTCGAACCGATCGAGAGTGGGCTCTCGAAGGGACCTCCCCGTGCAGGCCGTTTTCTTCAGCACTCCGTTTGTGCTGAGCCTCACCTGGGGAGACGCACGAGCCCTCCTGAGGGTCTCCAGTCTCTGCATCTCCGGGTTCCTACATGCCCGCATAAGGGTATGCAGCTAAGGGGTGATTGAGGCTGGAACCAGCAATTTCGCCATCCGTCCCAGAGACCGACTAGCTTTCACGAAGGGGCGACTCGACATCAACCATGGCTTTGTTGGCCGATCCGATCGAGCAGGCGAAACATCTCAAGGCCGAGAGTTTGTCTCGGCTCATCTTACTCATGGACCCCTTCATATACCAATCGCTTCTCCAGATGAGCGTGCCAGTAACTTGCGCTAAACACGTGGCAGAGCTCGGCGTGCCTACATTGATCGTCGTCAGTAGCTGGCCTTATGTGACTACCAGCTCTCTTCTGTCGAGGATTCGTCAGGGTGCGACCGTGCTGCTGACCGAATGACATAGGATTGCGTCATCCGTCCAACAATACGAACAGAACTACTCCGAGCCGTGCGCATCATTTTGAGAGACTCGCTAGATACGCTGTGCAAATTCCCCCCCCCTTGCGTAGCTCCCGCCTCTGCCAACCAATTGCCCCGAACATGGAGCCCAGTGCCGTTTTGATGGGCTTTGACGTGCTCGAGTCGGACGGTTGTTCCAAAGCCTCCTGAATCGTACAGCGTGGACCAGATAGCTTCCCAAAGGTCAATGTTGAGCCTCCTGGGGGCACACCACCTAGACTTCCCTCGAAGCAGACTCGTGGCCAGACATCTGTAGTCCGTGGCCACCAGGATGGGAGGGGCACAGACATGGAAGACCTGAAGGAAAGCAAACAGCTCGGCCCTTGGACTGGTTTGGATCGGGCCTGGCAAGGCCCCAAAGACTAGAACAGCAATACTGTGCTCACTGAAATGGGCGAAGCCCCAGCCTGCTCGCGCGGCCTCAGGACAAGATCAGCCCTTCCGCACCGTCAGTGTACACAACTCCCGTGATGGCATCCGCACGACCGTACATACGTTATGTGCCATCGTCCTGACCAATCTCGCGGCGGCACTGGAGGGAAACACGGACGTCCTCTCAGCGCACGGTCCCACATCCATGAGCCGCAACGCGACATGGAAAATGTTTGGCATCAGTATGACCTATATTATCCGAACGCTGAGCCTCAAGGCCTGGGCAATGCCAAACAACAGGATGCACCCAGCAGTATGACCCGCAGCTCGGGCAGCCGAGCGTGTCGGCACACTGGCAATAGTGTAAACTCTTTGGCGTCTAAAGTCCATGCTCCACGATGGTACGAATGGCACAGGCCTCCTGGACGGTGGGTGCCCAGGGAGGCTGTCGAGCTGGCGATTCAACGGGCTCTGGTTCGGGGTCCTCTTGAGATTCTTCACCATCGCATTCAACCTCTTCTGGGGCCTCAAGCGCGAGCATTACGCAATAACTTCCATAGCGTAGGAGTCATGCTGATCATTTCTGGATTTGGTTTCCTCGCCCAAGACTCCCAACGTCTGCGAACAGCAGAGGCACGAGCGAGAGCCTTGACTGTGGAGCCGTCGTCCTTGCGGAAAGAAAAGGCCGACTCTGAGCTCCATTGATATCTCTTCAACGATAGCAGCATGGCTCCCGTCGTGTCAGCACTAGTTCTCCAAGGCTTGGCATCGAAATCCAACGTCTGAATGTGACGCTTCTACGCTTGCTGCATCGTGTCGTGCGTCACCACACTGCCGCATGCAAACAGCGCGCACTAATAAATCGGTGCGACCCAGGCTTCCACCTGGAGATCTGAGAACATGCTTCCCTGGAGACACGAGCGTATCCAGGCTGAGGTGCTAGCACCAGGGGCGATCCAGGCGTTACACATGACCTTTGCAAGTGTTGCCACGACTTTGGGAGATGCCCCATGAACCTCGATGCCTTAATACATTGTCGAAACGCTTGCTTCGTAAACTAGCAGGCGAGAGCCCCAACCCTTCGAACTTGACGCAACCGAGGAACGCGATTGGCGGCAACCTGGATCCTGGATCGTAACATCGAAAACGAGATCGGCCGTTCTTCGATGCTTAAAACCTCCAAAGCGCTATTGTAAGTGTAGCCTAGACTGCTGAGCGTTGCACACGTCAGTGTCCAAACAGATGTCGAGCGGCTCGCCACTTTCACCGTGCGACTCGCTGCCGGCAGCCCAAGCTGCTCAAGGGCATGTGCGGTAGTAATACCATGTGCATGTCGGTAGATACTCCGAGGGACCCAAGCGGTGTGCCGATAGAGCGAGTCTAAGGGCGACAGCATGACAGATTGCAAGCAATACATGGCAAACGCACAACCTCGTAGTATTCCTCTGGTGGCCAAAACAAGGCTAAACAGGCACTGGTCCCAGGACAATCTCTGATAACGTATTTACATTGGCGAAGTCAAAAACATGAGCTGTCCAGGAGAAGGGGAGGAGGAAGGGTAGGAGGAGGAGGAGGAGGAGGAGGAGGAGGAGGAGGAGGAGGGGGAGAAAAAGGGCGGAGAGTGGGCGCGGCGAAGGGCGAGGGGGAGTGATGAAGAGAGTGGGGACGGGCAATGGGACAGAGGAGGAGGGGGAGGAGGAGCAGAGGGGGAGAGGGGGAAACGGATGCGGAGAAGGATGATGATGTTCTTTCCGATGACCAGACGAGAGCATTCGAGAAGAGCAGGTAGTGACCTGGGCCTCGACTGGATCAAGCGCCCGCAGCTGCAGCCCTCACAAACGCGCTAATCGAAAAGAAAGCAAGCTGCCTCCCTTTCTGCGGCATGCTTGGCTCCGAGAGGAAATCGTTGTCCACCGTCTCGGCGTAACGGATGGTGATGAGCAGGAGGAGCAGGAGCAGGAGAAGGCGGATGATGAGGACGAGGACGATGATGACGACAAGGACGGAGCCAGGAACAACATTTCAGCGAGCAGCTTGGCGCCGGCTAAGCAGATGTAGGCGGGCTTCTCCAGCACTTGCGCGAAGACGCTACCCCAGGCCATCAGAACGCCGCATGGTGACCCTGGGGGTCAGATGGTAGTCTGCTTTCGATTCTGCAGAGCTGTTTTATTGACCGTTTCCGAAGATCGGACTCTTGCGTATGAGAACGCTGAAAATTGCTCACCAGAACGAAAACTGCTGCGAAGTCGGAACCGGGACCAATGCCACAACAGGAACGGCGACACAATTGGACCACAAACGGCGACAGACTCAGAAATCAAGCGGGACAAGAACACATCGGAAAAAGAGAGAAGACAAAAACAAAACAATTAGCCTGGCGAAGGACCCAACCATATGCAGTTGTGAATGCCGCAATTGTGCTGGGTGGTGGCGGACGCATGCGGGCGGTGCCACTGGGACCTTCGGTGGAGCTCCCTATGGGGCCACGAAACGCTGTACTGGGTGGGTGAGACGCGGTCAGCAAGGGCTGTGCTGCGTGGTGGCGGACGCATGCGAGCGGTGCCACTGGGACCTTCGGTGGAGCTCCCTATGGGGCCACGAAACGCTGTACTGGGTGGGTGAAACGCAGGCAGGGAGCAAGGGCTGTGCAGGGTGGTGGCGGACGCATGCGGGCGGTGCCGCTGGGACCTTTGGTGGAGCTCCCTATAGGGCTACGAAGCGCTGTTCTGGGTGGGTGAAGCGCAGGGAACAAGGGCTGTGCTGGGTGGTGGCGGACGCAAGCGGGCAGTGCCACTGGGACCTTTGGTGGAGCCCCTATGGGGCCACGAAACGTGCGAGGGGTGTGCCAGAATGGGGTGTGGAACCGCATGCCAGCGCAGCCACTGGGGCCTTCGGTGGAGCTCCCTATGGAGCCACGAAGCGTGTGAGGGGTGTGCCGAAATGGGGGGTGGAACCGCATGCGAGCGCAGCCACTGCGGCGTTCGGTGGAGCTCCCTATGGGGCCACGAGACGTGTGAAGGGCGTGCCGAAAAAAGGAGGTGGAACCGCATGCGAGCGCAGCCACTGGGGCCTTCGGTGGAGCTCTCTATGGGGCCACGAACCGTGTGAGGGGTGTGCCGAAATGGGGGGGAACCACATGCGAGCGCAGCCACTGGGGCGTTCGGTGGAGCTCCCCATGGAGCCACCCACGAAGCGTGTGAGGGGTGTGCCGAATGGGGGGTGGAACCGCATGCGAGCGCAGCCACTGGGGCCTTCGGTGGAGCTCCCTATGGGGCCACGAAACGTGTGAGGGGTGTGCCAGAATGGGGGGTGGAACCGCATGCGGGCGCAGCCACTGGGGCCTTCGGTGGAGCTCCCTATGGGGCCACGAAACGTGTGAGGGGTGTGCCAGAATGGGGGGTGGAACCGCATGTGTGAGGGGTGTGCCGAAATGGGGGGTGGAACCGCATGCGAGCGCAGCCACTGGGGCCTTCGGTGGAGCTCCCTATGGGGCCACGAAAGGTGTGAGGGATGTGCCAGAATGGGGGTGGAACCGCATGCGAGCGCAGCCACTGGGGCCTTCGGTGGGGCTCCCTATGGGGCCACGAAACGTGTGAGGGGTGTGTCAGAATGGGGGGTGGAACCGCTTGCGAGCGCAGCCACTGGGGCCTTCGGTGGAGCTCCCTATGGGGCCACGAAACGTGTGAGGGGTATGCCAAAATTGGGGGTGGAACCGCATGCGAGCGCAGCCACTGGGGCCTTCGGTGGAGCTCCCTATGGAGCCACGAAGCGTGTGAGGGGTGTGCCGAATGGGGGGTGGAACCGCATGCGAGCGCAGCCACTGGGGCCTTCGGTGGAGCTCCCTATGGGGCCACGAAACGTGTCAGGGGTGTGCCAGAATGGGGGGTGGAACCGCATGCGAGCGCAGCCACTGGGGCCTTCGGTGGAGCTCCTTATGGGGCCACGAAACGTGTGAGGGGTGTGCCAGAATGGGTGTGGGAGGGGGAGGAGGGGGGAGGAGGGAGGGAGGAAGGAGGCGGGACCGCGGGGCACCGTTTCTTCAAAACGAGGACCCAACACCACAGGATGGTTGGAAAAAAATAAAGAACATGTCGCTTCCAGGGCCCACCGAGTCTCGGGGGCCAGGTCGTCGAGCACCACTCTGGCGCTGTTGGACCCTCTTTGGGGGTGGTCGAGGAGGATCGATGCTCAAAGGTTAGTCATCAACATCAGCATCATCATCAAACCTCATCTTCAGCACCAAGCATCATCATCATCAAACATCACCACCATCAAGCATCATCACCATCACCATAACTGAACATCATCATCAGCATCACCATCATCATCATCATCATCATCATCATCATCATCATCATCATCATCATCATCATCATCATCATCAGTATCAGTATCAGTATCAGTATCAGTCTCATCATCACATCATCAGCAGCAGCAGCATCAGCATCAGCATCAGCATCATCATCATCATCATCATCATCATCATCATCGTCATCATCATCATCACCATCAGCATCATCACCGTCGAGGATCGGTGCTCAAAGGTTCCAGGCTTCCAGACGTCCAGAGGGCCTCAGGACACGGCAGTTGCGACCGCGGCCGGCCACCCCCCGTTTCATAGGGGAAAAGCCATCACGCAAACATCAAAAACTCGGAGGTCCGCGTGGATTCCTCGGATTGGCGCTGGGCCCCCCTGTCTGGCGACGCGTCCGGGGCCGCACCTGGCGCGCTCCGTGCCCCATGGAGGGGGGTCCAGCGCCGATCCGAGAGATCCGCGCGGACCTCAGAAATTGTACCTCTATGTCGCTAGGAGAATGAGGTGTCGCGGCCAGAGTAGACTTTTGGCAGACTCTGTCATATCACCTCCAGCTTACAGCGCGCGCCGCTGTGAGGCGTTGCTGCTTGTTCGAGCTTCATGCACTCTCCACGCAGCGCGCTTCTTGTTTCAAGCCGTGCCTGTCGTGGGCTTGGTCCGCTCTATGACAGCACAGACGCGTGAGCGATCCTGCCCTATTGATATCATTGTTTGCCCCCCCCCTTCCGGGGGGGCATAAGGGTGGGGTTGGGGCAACGGTGAGGTGGGAGGGAAAATCGCTCTGGACGGCCCCTGGAAGAAGGAAACGCGTTAAACGGGAGCATCCAGCTGGGCCCGTTCCCCAGCCCCACCTTGGGATAACCCTCCCTCTGCGAACCCCTGGCCCTAGGCGGAGGTGGCCCGGACCTTCGGCCTGCGCGCGCTCTCGCTCGCCTCGTCCCGGCTGGCGCTCGACCTCTACTCCGAGGAGCTGCCGGCGGAGGACCCGGCGGCACCGCGCGCGGCGGCGGCGGCGCTGCGGCCGGCCACCTGCGCCCGCGAGAGCACGCAAGAGGTGCGGAGGAGGAGGAGGAAAAGGAGGAGGAGGAGGGGGAGGAGGAGGGAGAGGAGGAGGAAGTGGAGATTTGGATGCCGCTGCCCCTCCCTCGTCGCCTGTCCCCTTGGGGCAACATTTGGGGGAGGGAGGGGAGAGGAGGAGGAGGAGGAGGAGGAGGAGGAGGAGGAGGAGGAGGAGGAGGAGGAGGAGGAGGAGGAGGAGGCGGCGGCGGCGGCGGCGGCGGCGGCGGCGGCGGCGGCGGCGGCGGCGGCGGCGGCGGCGGCGGCGGTATTTTGGGGGCCTCTTGTGGCCTCCTGGGGGCTCCTGGAGGCCTCGTGTGGGCCTCCTGGGGGCTCCTGGATGCCTCTTGTGGGCCTCCTGGGGCTCTTGGGCGTCTTGAGGGGCTGATGGGACATCTTAGCGCGCCGCTAGCACGGGTGACTCGTTTGGAGGCTGTTTTGGGGGCCTCTCTGGTGCATGTCGGGGCCGTCTTGGAGGTCCCTGCGGTCGTCTTGGGACCATTCTGGCGGCCTCTTGAGCCACCTTTTTTGTGGGCCCATACTGGGGCCATCTTGGAGGTTTATGGGCCGTCTTGGGGCAGTGTTGACGAATCGGCTGAGCGAGAGTTGTTCAACAACTAGCGGGGAACCAATGAAATTGGCTTCTTGGGGCTGTGGAGGGTCTCTTGGAGCCCTATTGGGGCGTCTTGGGGCCTTTGGGGACGTCTTCAGGGCATCCTGGGCCATCTTGGAGTCATCTCCGGGCGTCTAACAAGCAATGGCCATGTTGCCCGTCTTGGAGGAGTCTTGTGACTGTAACCCGTCTTGGGGCCATCTTGGCGGAGAAGCCAACGTAATGCCACTTTACGGATGGCCAGCTGGATGGGCCAGCAGCCTCCCTGGGATTCCCTCGGGAGGGCCACAAAGTTGACCCGAACGTTTACGCATACCAAGCACCCTTTTGCAAGCAGAAGGGGGCGGCGGATCGAAGACGCCCACGGCGAATCAGCGCCGCCCCCTGCCCTCTTGGAAACGACAATGTGGCAGGAGGAGGAGGAGGAGGAGGAGGAGGAGGAGGGTGAGGAGGAGGAAATAGCGGAGACGGAGCATGATAATCTCTGCGACGGTTCGGTGGAGAAGAAGAAGATGCGGCACTGCAACAAGTGCGGCAATGACCTGAAGATTGCATTCTGCACGCAGTCGCGCGGGAGCCTCCACGCGCAGCGGATGAAGTGCATGGCGGTCCGCGACCAGAACCAGTTGCGGGACTGCCGGGGCTGCGAGCAGTGGTTGCCGAATGCGGTGTTCGAACGGTGCAGCAGCAACCGAAGCTTCCATACGAAGCGCAGGAAGTCCGAGAGCAAAGTCAACCGAGCGCGGAAGACGCAATCGGCACATGAGTCATGGCACTCCTTCTTGGCCAGCACTTTCTGCGCAGGGACATTCCGTGTGCCGACGCGGCGCACCCCGCGTCAACGGGCGCGATGTCTTTCCGCACAGGGCTGCCTCCAGCGACGTCGCGCCAAATTATTGGACCACGCGTTCGCCCAACCATTGTGAAAAACCTCGGGGGGGGGTCTCGTGCCAGGGGCGGAAGGACGAGGAGGGGGAGAGAGAGAAGAAGGAAGGCGAGGATGAGGAGGGAGAAGAAGGAGGGCGAAGAGGCGGAGGAGGAGGGGGAGGAGAAGGATGGCGAGGAGGAGGAGGAGGAAGATACCTCCTGGGGGCCTCTGGGGGGCGAGGGCCGGAGGGAGGGGACCAGGAGATGAGCGGGGAGAGGAAGAGGGGGAGGGGCAGGGAGAATAGTGAGGAATACAAGGGCAATGGGAGGACGAGGAAACACGATGATGAGGAGAAGGGCAGGGGGAGGGGGAGGGGGAGCGGGAGGAGGAGGAGGAGGAGGACGACGACGAGGACGACGACGACGACGACGACGACGACGACGACGAGAAGAGTGAGGCCGCGCGTTCCTCGAAGCTGCGTCGGAAGGTCTCGGGGGGCACCTGACCCCATCTCCCGCGACGGGGCGGACGGGGAGGGGCGGAGGGGATATAGCACCTGGCCGCCTCCTCCCGCGGCGGAGGACGCGGCAGGAAGGGTGGGGGGGGAGCGCACCGGTTCGGACCAGGTCTGGCCCGGGCCCCACAGGGGTCGGAGGCGGCCAAGAGGGGGGTGAGGACTGGGGGGGGTGGGGGGGACATCACGGCGGGGGCCATGGTCTCTCCCCAGATGTCATGGCGCCTCGTCCTGTTTCATAACGTCCCTGGCCCCCCACCCCCCTGGGCCGCGCACATGCCGCCGGCCAGGATTTGCGCCCTACCTTCTTGGACGCCCCCCTCTTGGCCGCCCCCGAAGGGGGAGAGGAGGGGGGGAGAAGCAAGAACAGAGGGAGGAGGAGGGGGAACGCTACCATCCTGGACCATGTTGGGCGAACTTGGAGGGCACAATGGGCCGCCTTGGCACTCAGAGGCGGGCGTTGCGCAGATTGTGGTCGCGTTGGGCCGTTTCGGGCCAAGTGGGCCGTCGTGGAGGCGGTCGTCGTGGAAAATGTGGTCGCGCTCGGCCGTCTTCTAGGCCATCTCGGCGCGCGCACGAGCCGTCTTGGAGGCCATCTTGGGCGTCGTCGGGATCCCTGGGCCTTTTTGGGACCTTCTTGAGCCAGTTTGGGAGGTTTCTTGGACGCTTCTTGGGCCATCTTGGGACCATCCTGGAGGACTCCCGGGCAAACTTGGATGCATGTTCGGTCGTCTTGAGCCGGCGGAAAATCGCAAAAGAGCGAACGCCAAAATCTTCCAAACATTGACAGGCTTTGCATGTGTTCGCCTCTTCGGTTCCTCATTGGGGTCCTCGTGGAGGCCTGTTGGGCCGCCTTGGAGGCCTCTGGGGGCGTCTTGAGCCATCTTGGAGCCTTCTCGGGCCGTCGTGAGGCCATCTTGGGACGGGCAGGGAACATCCCGGAGCCATTGTGGCCCCTCTGGGAGCCTTCTTGGCAATATTGGAGGTGCATTGGGACAATTTGTGAAGCCATCCTGGACCGTGGAGGCCATCTTGGATATTTTGGAGGTGGGCGTTGATTGTTGGACACGGTGGCCGGCTGAGCCGAAGCGCGGTAAGAATCCGCCGCCCCCTGATGATGTATCACAGGGATTCTTGGCGTGTTGAATTTTTGGATTTCGTATCTGTTTTAAATATGCCCCTGGGGCTTCAGCCCAGCGCGCTGGCCACCCGGAAAGCTCCGGACGGGGTGGTTGGCAAGGGTTTTTCCGCTCCGGATGGCTCCGAGATGCCCCAAGATTCAGGAGGGACAAAAAACACACAGACACACTTAATCGTCGATTCCCAAGAAAATATTGGAAAATATTGGAAATGGTGGGGAAGACAAAACCCAGAAAACATTTGAAAAAAAAGAGAATCCTGTAATCTGTGTCTATTTATTTGTGTGTCCCTGGGCCCCTTCAAAGATGGCCTCCGAGACGGTTCCAAGAGGCCTCCAGGACGGCCGAGGCTCCGAGGGAGCCCCAGATGGCCCCAAGATGTGCCCAACACAGCCGGAGATGCACCAAAAACGGTCGAGGATGACCTCAAGCTGCCCCAAGACGGCCCAAGAGGCCCCAAAGAGGCCTCCAAGACAACCCAAGAGGCCAAGTTCTTCCAGGAAAGCCCGAAGATGCCAACATCATTGATTTTCCTTAGGTTTGTTAGACAGATTTGGGCACTTGCTTTTTGTCTGGCCTTCCGACGCCCCACGACGGCACAAGAGGCCCCCCAGAACGCACCCAGCGCGCCCAAGAGGCCTCCAAGGTGGCCCGTCCCATGACGGCCCAAGAGGCCCCCATGACTGCCCTAAGAGGGCCCGATGACAGCCAAGGAGGCCTCCGAGACGCCGTAGATGGCCTCCAAGACGGTTCTACAGCACGCCAAGAGGGCCCCAAGTCGGTTCAGGGAGGCCCCCAAGACGGCGTCAGACGGGCCAGGAGAACGGCCTTCGTTTGGCCAGGCACGGTGACCCTCCACATGTGTATCCAGCAAGTGGCCTTCGGATGTTCCACAGGTGAGTCCAGCCGCGTGCGGTCCCAGCTTCTGGTAGGAACTGGTCCAAGATAGCGCCTCAGGCTCCAAAGCCAATTTCCAGAAGGATCCCTGTCCCCCAGCTGCAGCACAGGACAGGGAAAATGGAACCGAGAGTTCCTTCCCCGCCCTTTAGTTCCTTGCACCTAAGCCGTCGGATTATTTCGCCAGCTGGCACCAGTGGTGCCCCTTGCGCGCTCTATTACTCAATCGTTGTTGGCTTCATCAACGGCCACGCACTCGTGCGGCGCCAAATTCAGATCCACCAGCGGATTGCAGTCGACTGCGAACAGAACGTTCTAGGGAATACGAGTTGATAAAGTTGTTGCCTGGCCGTGGGTATCGGGTGCGATTGAACCTGGAGATCAAGCCGAGTCCTGCCAGCTTCCGATATCCCTGAATGTGTTGCGCTTGCATGTTGCTGAAGGTCTTCACATGCTGAAGTCCTGTGTGATGTGCTCCTGCGCTTGGTGCCCCATCTTGCTTCACAAGTTTCTGGAAGTGCATCGCTGAGCCATCTTGTTATCCCATGGTTGAGCGTGCGTTCATTGTCCTCCACAGCATCACCATCATCAGCATCATCACCATCACCAGAACCACCATCACATCATCATCATCATCATTCTCAGAATCACCATCTGCACCAGGCATCACAATTGTCATCGTCACCCTCATGCTGTTGACACTCCTCCTCCTCCTCTTCCGTAGCTTTTGTGGCTCAAGATGCTAGGTTCTCAGGTGAACCAAGTGGATACTGCTACTCCGCGACAGGCAAGGCGTCTTGAGGTCTGGCGTTCGTTACCCTTGCCCCTCCACACCGATGGGCAAAAACGATACGGAGCGGCAGAGATGGCTGTGCAAGTCTTGCAAGCACGAACG